ATTCAGAAGTATTTCGTGCGCACGTTAAACTTATTGTGTGGCCACGAAATACTACTTCGTGGCCACAGTTAAAATTTTTTTTTGACCATGTCATCAGAGGGGCTCCGTACAAAATGGCAGCGTACGTTTACAAGAAAAAACAACAGACAAAAATGTACTTTAATTAAATAACAAGAAGGCATTGAAGCGCACAACACCAAAGATCTCCACCCAATCTTGTTTTTAAAGTAAAATTTAACACTTCTTGTACTTGTGCGTGCAGGATTCAGCTACTGACCGCTTTGCGGAAATAGATTCCTCTGATCACAGAGAAACATAGAAAAGTCAGACTATCAGACCCTATTATGCAGTGATCTATATCAGTCATATTTCTATGGAAAGGAGCCAAAGACTTGATTCATCAGAAATGAGGAACCTTTAGAAAGAGAAACTCTTCTGTCAGCTCATCCAATGTGTCAACACCAGACAGTCAGGAGGACAGATTGAACAAAAGGTCAGTGAGACAAAAAAAAACATTCACACAGTTGGTTAAGATAACTCCTGTCAAGGGCGAGGCTTTTATCTCCGTTCTCTGGAAAACTTCGCTCTATGAAAACTTCCACAGTCTTTATCAACAGGTCAGCTCCACCTCCTCATCGACAGAGAATGTTTTGGATGTTTTCCTTCTGCTCTTATTATTTTCTAAGCTAAAACCAGTTTGGACACAGAGTCCAGAAAACAGAACAAACTCACTAACAGCTTATCTTGGTTGCTTATTCTGAGAAGACAGGAAAATGGCGAGTGCTTAGAGATCACTGATCCCCGCTGATAAAACACTAAACTCCCAGTTATGGGTTTTACTGCCCAGAAGAATCTGCAGCAGAATTCAGAACCAGTTTTGTTTTTTTTCTTGCTGAAAGCAGCAGCCAGCAGAAAAAACTACGACAACAGTTAAATATGGTTGCAGAATGTTGACGTGCGTAAACTTGTTACAGCGTGACACTAAGAGAGGCTTCTGCAGCCACGGAAACCAAAACGTTCAGCTAAACACCCCGCTCTGCACGGCTGCCGACAGTCAACCAGAAACCAGCAGAAAACCCCCAGAACTTCTGCTCCTCGGGTTAAAAGCTTCAATCTTTTTAGCTGAGAAAACTCCTGATGAAAAGGACTGAAGTAAAACTAAAACTTAAAACCCGTTTAATCCATTTATTCTTTAAAATTTATTTTCATTTCTTAGAAATATTTACTCTCATCACTTACATAAGTTATACTCATTTATATTTTTTTCCCACACTTCAATAGTAAATTCTTTTCATGCACCAGAATCAACGTTGTGTTTTACTGTAAACTCACCCAATCACCAGGACTATCAGCAGGAACCCAGCCAAAAACTTCAGGTGCGTCATCTTCGTTTGCATCTCTCGGTCCAAACAATGTCGTTTCTAATCCACCTCAGGGTTGGTTTAAGGTCTTCACACCATCTGGTTCTGGGGCCTCGTTTTTGTGTGAGCAGAACCTGCAGATGTTTAGAGCTCGATTCTTCCAGCCATCCTGCAAACTAAAGCAGACTGAGTCTAAGAAGACTGGGAATGGTGGTGGCGTGAACAGCACTCCTTACAAGAGAGAGGGGAGGGAGTTAGAGCGAGCCTGTTTATAACCGAACCTTTAAAATCCCTCCCTGCTGTTAACCATGCAGATACCAGAAAGTTTATTTTAGTTAGCATTCAGCTCAACTTGTTTATATAGTTCTAATTAACAGGACAAGTCATCTAAAGGCATTTTACAGTCACCTCTAACAAATAGTTTTTTTTTTTTTTTTTT